TTTTTTTTTTTTTTTTTTTTTTTTTTACAAATCTTTGATGAAATATTTTAATATTATTCTGAAAACATTGTCAAAATTTCCATATTAAAAAAAAAAGTGTTGAAATTTTGATAAATTTAGAAAGATTTTGCTCCAGTGATTTTTACCTGAACTATTTTAATTGAATTTAATATTTTATTGTGGAATAAATTTCCCATTTATATATTCGTTGGTAATGGTTGTAAATTTTGTGGAAAGGGATGATAAAGGATATCTGATTGATAGATAGAATAGATGGATAGATTGAACAATTAATCGGTCGATAAATAGATAGATAGCTAAATCAATCGAATAGATAACCAATCAATTATCTTCAAACAAAGATGATAATAAATATTGTATACAGGTTAAATTATTCCATAAATTTTCATGCAATTTCTTTATCAATTATTTGTCAATTTATTTCCATCCGATACCTGTATAGGAGATATTCATTATTATTCCAGGTAAATATTACCTGTCAATTCGTTTCAATTTATTTTAGTTAAATAAAAACAAAAAATTCGGTGTAATTTAGGTATTGATTTAACTGAAAATACCAGATAATCAGCTTGTTTAAATTTAATAAAGCTTTAAAAGCAGGTGAAAAAAAAAATGAACCTTCTTGAAAATAAGCACGACAATTAGTAAGCTATTCCATGGATGAGACAAAAAGTGTGTCACATCGCTGTTATCCAGTATTACTTTGGACCGTGAAACAGATGATGAGATGGCGAAATTAATGTTTGTTGTTTTCCTGGTTTCTTTTTTCCCTGATATGTTTACCGTAGATTGAGAGAGTAATTAATGCAGTATAGTGTAAATATAATAATCGCATATATGTAATGCTGAAGCTAACAAGCTTAATGATCTGGTGGAAACAATTTTAGACTTGCAAATATCTATGTGAAATTTGCAATGTTCCGGTCTTTCGATTTCTCGGTTATTCATTTATGAATGAGTTTAGGAAAATCGAAAATCTCTGGTAATTCAGTAGTTTCCTTTCTTTTTCTTTTTTTTGCGATGACCCATAGTATTAGATCTGTCCTATTATTAAGTGAAATGCATTTTCCACTACAAACCCGAAATACTGAATGAGAATGTTTTTTTTTTTTCTCATGTTTGTTGAAATTCCCATCTTTGATTTTACTTATTTACTTTTTTGCCTTTGCTCGAAATACATGAAATTTAATCAAAGCAATGGGACGACATTGCTTAAATATCTCTCCACAACAACAGGTGGGTGAGTTGGAAGGATGACTGGATAGCATTCGAGATATCATACATGCCGAAATATCACTACTGTACGTTAATTGACTGGAGTCGGGCAACTCGAGCACCAATAAATTATTAGCTTTGTCCGATTGTTAAGAAAAACGGTCATTATCGTTAATCTTTTGTAAGGTTTATATCCTAGGTTTTTTCAGACTATCTATTATAAACAATGATTTGGCGGTACTAATTCGGATAATGAATTGAGGCTTAATTTAAAATTTGTCACTGTTAAGCATTCAGATTTTAGCCATCAGTTCTGCGTTATGGTGGTAAAATTTACTGAAAATGTCAGAGTGCAGTATGGTAACGTATGATAAAGATCAGAGTAAATTTGATGAATAATTTGTGCATGATATCTCATATTGAATTTTGCACATTCGGTATATGTTCCCTGCACTAGACCCACGTTGATGAATAGGATATTAAACCAAAAGGAAATCATTGCTAAGTCAAATTGGTGTTAGCATCAAATTGGGTTGGGAAGAAAGTGGGTTGATTGATATAAGTTGATTCGAACAAACTGAACCAAAAGAGTATGATTATTAAAGCAGGGAGCGTTTTATGTCGTTGTCTCACTGTTACCAATCGATGGTTGTTTACTCTTCATCATCTGATTTGATTATGAAAAAGACTATTTTAGATGGAATTGAGGTCGGGTAATGTTGCAAAACTGGTAAATCGTTTGAGCAGAGATCTTTCACAACTGAACAAGACAACAGCAGCATCATCGGTAGATGTCAGTTTGAGACGATCTGGTAAGCAATTTAACCAGTTCTGTTCTCTCTGAATGTTGTAATTCGAACACAGATAATACTTTCCAAACTCTTTCAAGTTTTAATCCTGAAATTTAATACACCTCACTTGCGGGTACTATAAAGCTAACCAAAATAAATGTCCCTAAAATGCTATAAAACTCTTAAAAGGTCACGAAATGTATTATATAGGGAGTGTAGCGGTTCTTTTTTGCTCTTCTCAATAAGAAGTGGACATACAATGTCCGAAATCCAGTCATAGAATATTGTGATATGTAGCTTTTAAAGTAGCACTGGTTCATGCGACAGTGGGTACTTATGTGAGATTTAGGAATTCATTTTTACGGCGAAAAGATGGATTGTCATTTTCTTCAAGTTGAATCCATTACAAGTCCAGAAGCTCTTTGCTATTTTTGTATAACCAAGAGAGGATATATAAGGTTGTATTTGTGTTTCTTTCAATTTATTGCATTTTAAGATATAGAGAACAAGAAATGTTCAAATAAATGCTATTAGTTATATATGCTAGTACTATACTTGTTTTATTTCTCAACTTGAGTTTGAGGTCATGAGAATGTAATTGAATTCTCTCCTTAACCTACCGTTACATTTTTCCGCATGATGAGGATGTTATGCAAGATGCATAGTTATCATTTGTCATCTCGTGTCTGATTTTAAACTAAATATGCCTTATTATATGTTGTAATATATAAAACTGGAAAATCAGGAAAAAAAGGTAAAAAGAGTTCATGACGAGTGAGAAAATTAGCATAGTTTTAAATGAAGCAGGATGCATTTAGTACAAAAGTAGTGCATGATTTTCTCCTTGAAAGGAAATAATTTTGTATTTGTTTTACATTCTTTCCATGATTTTTTTATGTTGCTGTGTACGGAAGACTGATATTCTTTTGACCGTTCAGTTATGTAAACGACCCGAATTGTTACCAGTCGATCCTTGTAATCGTACCTCATATTATTGAACCGGTTTTTCTCCGATAAGTGAATTGATGGTTGGACGTGTTTGCAATAAAGGAATCATGCGAACATTCATTCCTTTTGAATATTTTAAGATGTTTTGACGAGTAAAAATGCATCATTTTAATCATTACATATATATATATATATATATATATATATATATATATATATATATATATATATATATATATATATATA